TATAAAATTTTTTGAAGTTTTTAAGTTATTCAATTATATTGGTCATTAATTTTTTTTTTTAAATTTACAGTGACACCAACATGTGAGCAGCAATCGATTAAAGTGATATTAACATTTAATGGGAATGATTTGCCAGAAGGACGATTTGAGGATTGGATTGTTGTTGGAACAAATAATCGGGCCGAATGCCGCTTGAAAGGTAATGGTGAATTGCAGTATGTTATCGAACTGGCAGTTTTCAATGATCCGTGCCAAACACAAATGGTAAATTTGAATTTTGAATTTGAAAAAATAATTTTTTTGTAGATTTTATTTTTTAATATTGTTAGGATGCAATCAAATATTATTATTCAAAAATATTTCTTACTGAATTATATCGGATAGCCTCAAAAAATTTTGAAGGTATTTCAATCGACAATGCACCACCATGCACATAAACATTTCAAAGGCTTTGAAGCAATTTTTGTTGTATTTTAATGGCTAAAGTTTAAGAACAAGTAACTCTGTTAAATTTCAATTCTGATATATCATATAATTAGCTATCATTTTTAATTTTATCATCTTAGCAGCAGAAAGCTTAGTGTTTAATATTGAATTTAAAAATTTCAAATTCAAATGAACTGTTTGAATTTAAAGTTGAAGTTAAATTTTAGTGGTGCTCTTTTTTTTTCTTCCTAATTTTGCATAAGATGGTAGGAAAAATTTTGGTTAATAATTGTTGATGGTGTGGTTTAAAAAAAATTCTTATAAATCTTTCGCCACTAATTATCGGAGTTTTTTTTTCTCTTTTTTTCCTTCCTCTTTCTAAGGATGAAATGGAAATTTGACCGCATTTCATTTCCTTTCCGCATATTCCATCCAATTTAGAATTTTCATCAACTAATTTCTGAAAGTAGCATTTAGCAAATAATGCTGAGAAATGAAATTCAAATATGAAGGAATAAAATCATCAAAAAATTTCCAACATTAAAATCCAGAAGTTTCATGCTTCATAGTATGATTTGTACAAAGAGAAAAAAAAAATGAAAAATGTTAGCCTCCTTTGAACTGTACGCTAGGTAAGTTAAAATGTTCAGAGACAGCAAAATCAAATTCATCAATTCGGTTTAAATTCCGAAGAAATGTATTTATGTGTGTAAGAAATTTGAAAACTTTTGATGAATTGAGAAATTTGTTTCTTCAAATGTCATTATTATATTTACCACAATTATTGCATTGTCGAAATAATAAGGCTGTAAGAAGGTAATTGATTGATTTCATGTGGATAGATAATTAGGATGAATTTGAAATTGCCCAAAATTTCCATCCAGAAATTTCATGCTTATTATTTTATCTTTTTTAAACGATTTTTTTTTCACGGGACTACTATTTCTTTTTTTTGAAATTTTCCATTTTTTTTTTCTTTTTCATTTCCTCTCATTCCTCTATTATTATCAGCATTCTAATTTTAGCCTTCTACTGGCATATTTCAAAATCGAATTCGAATTGGGAAAAATCCAGCCGTAATTTTGCTTGGTGACAAGACATATGTTGTAAAATGTATATATGGTTTACCGGAAATTAGCCAACTTGCTATTCCAATTATAAATCCATCATTTAATGCTGTCACTTTAGCGTTAGTTCTTTTCATCTTTTGTTTGTTTGTTTGTTTGTTTTTGTTTTTGTTTTTATTCATTTATTCATTTGTTCATTTATTTTTTTTTGTGTTTTTAAAATTTATTTTCATTTTGTTTTTTGTTCCAAAAAAAATAATGCCAAATAGCTACTATAAATTGTTGTTGAAAGAAAAATATTAAAAAAAAGAAAAAAATAAAATTTAATAATTCTAATAGAGATGTTTAAATTTAATGAATTTGAAATTATAATTTTTAGTGATCCATCGACAAATTCGATGCATGTTGAATTATTTGATGCGATTGGATCATCAAATGAGACAAGTGAAGAGAATTCAGAAGATCAAGAGATGGATGATAATGATGATAACACACTCATAACATGGCCAATTCTTCTTTCTATCATTGGCGGCTTATTTCTTCTCACTATCATTCTCATTCTTGCTTTTATATGTTTCCGATGGAAGATTGAAAGTAAGCCAAGAAATTTGCAACGACAAAGTGCTTCATCAAATGGTTCTTTTTGTTGAAAAACTAAAAATTTTTGAATCAAATCACTGTAATAGTTTTGGGTGAATATTAAAGAAAAATTTCACTTTAAAAATTTTTTTTGTGATTCTTTTTTAAGAATACTAACTATTAAATGGTTAATTAAACTCAATTATAAATTCGCTTTTCATTTTATTTTTTCAAATGCCAAATGTAATTTGAAAAATGGTTAAATTTAAGCCATACCAGCAAGGATTATTTAAAATTAACTCCGCCTATAGAAAATCAATATCAAAAGCATCGTTTTGTTGCATTTAATTGATCGAGTTTTTAACTGTTTCATGCTAAATTTAAAATTTAAAAAGTCTATTTTTGCTTTTTTGTCATATTTTCTTTGTCTTTTTCAAAACTAAATGAGCCGGTGCATGGTTCAGCAATTGTCGTTGTAAGATATTGTTTGAATTGAAAAAAAGGTTGACAAAATAAATAAAGTTTGAGAAACAAATGTTGATTAATTAATTTCCAATTAAATTTTGAAAAGTAAATTAAAGTGATTCATAGTTTATTATTATTCACATTACACGAGAATAACTGAAAAATTTGTTTGCACTTTCACATTTTTTTATTGTTTAAATGTTTTCAAATAATTTATTAGGCAAATCATTGCATTGAAAAACGAAAAAAAAAGTTTTAATTTCCAAATAATTTGTTCATTTGTTCTCCTTTTTTTATTTTTTTCTTTTATTCCTTTTTTTTTAATGTATTAAATTATTTTCGTATTCAACAAAATTTTATATCATATATCCCATTTAATTTAATTCAACATAAAATTTCAAAATGAAAACATCATATTGAACTGGATAAAATTTTGATGAAAAAAATTGATGAAATTTATGTAATACAGTATTAAAATTATGATATGCGGTGAATGTAAAATCACTCCTATCATTACTTTTTAAAAAATTTAATAATTCATTTGGAAGGTGCACAATAAAAATTTAATGGCGAATTTTTTGCTGATTAATTTTTTAATTTTCAGTATAAGGAAGGATATTGAAAGATGAAAAATTTTCAGTATAAGGATATTGAAAGATGAAAAATCGTAAAATTATACAATCATATTTATTTTTATCATTAAAAAAAATATCATCTTGAAGTTTTTAAAAAATCAATTTAATCATAAATGGAATATGCTGATTAATACTAATATAAAGTTTTAACAGATAATTTTTAACATGTAAGTATTAACATAATTAAATAGCTCTATTAATAGTTTTTCGATTCAGGTATTGCAATTAGTAAATTCGGTAACGGTGACCTTTGGTGGAATGAAAAGAATAATGTGAAATCGAAACAACCGTCAAGTGTTCAAACAACGAATGAACGGTTTGTATTGTCAAACTAAAATGAAACTTTCAAAAAATTGTTTGTATGAAACATTTTTTTTTTCCTTCATATTGTATAACAGCATAAGTTCATGTTTATTTTGCAAAATTTAAATTCAAAGTCAAATTTAAACTGAATTGATGATAATGGAACCGAAATCAAAATTGATTTCATTACTATATATAAAAGTTAATAAATTGATTGGATAAAACTTGACTATTTTTTGACAGATTTTTAATATGTTTACACTGGTATTGCTTTTCAATTTTAATTTGAAATTTTTGATTATATTTTAGATCCTCCGCAACAGTTCAAAGTATGATTAATATGAATTCAACATTATCGTCTGATTCATCGGCAAACTCGGAACGAAATTTGCAAAATGCTCCAACGAGAAGTTTCTCGCAACAACAGTCTACAACGACAGATTCCGGAATTGCTGCTACGGAAGATTTACAGCAATGTTATTCGGAATGGCGAAGTCGCATTCTAACTAATTTATCTAACAAACACGTAAGTAATAGTGTTAATAGTACTAATGAATTGCAATTAATAACTTAATAATTGCTTGGTAAATTAATTCATCAATAATTAATTAGTCATTCTTTCCGATTAATTAATATTGATAGTTTAACTTGTAAAAAATGTTTCTTGAAATTTGCGTAAATAATTATCATTATCATTTGCGTAATTCAATACTGTTACATGTAAAAATTGATTAATGATAGATTTTCTCTAAATTTAATTTAAACAATTACTGATTTAAACTAAGACATGAATAAAAAATTCAGTGTAAATTTTAATTTTAAATTTCTGATCATTTCTCTTTTTTCTTTGATGTAATTCAAAAATGATATATTTTAGATATTATTCGTTTTACGAATTAATTATAATTTAGGTTGATCTGAACAGATGCTCATCATTACGAACGGATGAGATAACAATTGGCGAAAATCAGCTCTCGGAAGTTCGTTCAATCACCGAAATTTATCGATCCGCTGAGATGGCTCTCGGTGAAGGTGATGCATTATCACAGTCAACACTTGAAGGTACTTTTAAATTTGCTATCATCGGAATAAAAAAACACAAAAAAATTGTTTATTTTCTCATAAAAAAAATTTTTTCAATTTTTGAGAATAATATAAATTTTAATTTTTTTGGATAAAAAGCATTAAATCATCAGTTCTTTAAAATTTGAAATTTTCATATTAACTAAATTGAAAATTTTTTTTCAACAATTAACTTTTATATGATCTTGTTAAACTAAAATTAAAAAAAAGAAACGCAACATTTAATTTTTAAAAAAATTTAAATTAACCAACATTTAATAATATTTGAGGAGTTTCATTTGTGCCAAATTATTATAATTCGGATCCCGAAATTGAACGGTTCATTCGATGTGTTGGTAAGATACGTGGTATTGGCTCTCGTAAACTTACAGAACAAGAATTTGGTAAATAATTTTTCATTCAAGAAAGCTTACTATTCAATTCTCTGTTCATAAAAATTTTTTTTCAAGAAAATATCAAAATTAAATATTAGTTGATGAAAAGCAGGATTAAATTAAAAAAATTCACACCATCAATTTATTGATGGAAAAACACAACCTTTTTTTTTTAATTTAGCGTTAAAGAATTAGCGTTAAAATATTCTTTAATGCTGTAATTAGCATAGGAAAAAGATTATGAAAGTTTACTTTTCTTTTTTTTTTATCCTTAGTTGAAAAAAAATTTACAGGTCGATGGCGTCGTTTAGTGATCGAAAATGTAACATTTCGTGAATCCCTTTTAAAAGCACGAGATATGAAAGAAATTGAAGAGATATGTTTGGGATCGAATTACAAGAAATTATTTACTAAAGAAAAATGGAATGCTATAATTTCTTGTATTATTGAACAACAACAGCAATGTAATATGTCAACAAAACATTTTCTTAAACGAAATGACTCACAACAACAAGTTAGCTAATTCATTTATTCATTTCCAAACATAATAATTTAATTCCTTTTTTCCATTATCATTTTTCGATTCCAAAAAAGGAAAATAAAAAAAGAAACAAATAAGCAAACATATATATTGACAGTATTATTTATAATTGCTAAGCATAAATGTTATTGAATAATATTTCGAATTTTCAAATATGATATATTTTTTGAAATATAATTCAAAAAAAAAAAAATTATGTGTAACACATTAAAGTGTTAACATGATTGTATTGCTAAAGTTTTTATGATGAAATAATTAACTGATAAGATATCATTTCTGACAATCTATTGATAACATTTTTTCCACTCATTAGTTGCTTCAATTATGAAATGTGAACTGAATGAATGGATCAAGAGAAGAAATGTAATTATTAAATATCATTCATTAATTGCATTTTATCGATATATAAACGTTTTTTCTCTTTTTAAATTTCTTTCTGACAATTTCAAAATATATTTTTAAATGATAAATTAATTTAATTGTGCTCCTTTTTCATTTGTATGTAAGAGATCGATTAATCAAGAATTATTATTCAATAGTGATATTAATTGAAACACAAACATGATATTTATTCATTTTTAATACTAAATGATCGAAAATTATAATTTAACAGTAATATTAGTTAAAAATAATACCGAATACAAAGAAAATGCTGTATAATCTGTGCTTAAGTAATATATTTAGTAATCATTATCCCCATTCAAACATCATACAAATTCATTTCAAATTCTTACTTTTTACCGTCAATTTCATCAAAATTACACATAGTTATTGGCAAATGTTTCATCCATTTATTAATTTTTCGTTTTGCAGTTTGCGTATTTAATTTTTAAATTTTCGTCATCATTTATAACACTAAAAATTATGATTTATTTTCAAAAAAAAATTCCAAAAATAGTTTAATAGGATTTAATTAATTCATACAGTTTTATAGAAATCAGAAGCTATAGAAATAAGAAGCTAAATTTCATAATGCTAATATATGGTAGGATCTAATTAGCATGGACGAGAAAAATTGAATTTTCTCATTTATTTAAACAAAAATCATCGAATCATAAATGAATCAGCCGTGAAGAATAGGGCAAAAATTTATCAAATAATCTTTATGCTTACATTAAACTAATAAAACTTTACTTCAAAGATTTATTAAATTTAATTATAAATTAAGTTTATAAAAAATTTTCCAAAATTTACTCAGCAATTGTTTATCTCTTCATTTTCAGGATTTCGTCTCATCATCCTTAAATGTATACATTGGTGATGTTGGTTCCAGTGGTTGGTAGAATTCATATTTCACATTCTTGTCCGGTATTGATTTCATTTGTAAATAGTATTGATTTTCCTATCCTGTCACAATCCGGCAAATTTGATACATCGGAATTATATTTTCAATAATCAATTATTATCATATTTGATAGTTTGCCACTTTTTGCATGTATATTTTGATCTATTCATTCATTCTTTTTTTTTTGATTTTGATTTGAATAAGTTTTATAAATTCCAAGAAATTTCATTCGTTAATAGTGATACTTCATGCAATAAACTTTTTTTTATAAATTTATTCAATAATTTATAATTTCATTTGAAATTTGAAATAATTTTCGTAGAAAGTAAAACAATCAATGATGATCATTGTCTTTGATGGAAATTTTGCCATTGCTTCAAATGATATTATTAACATTGCACTCTTATCACAGGTTAAAGATTCATTTTGTCAATTGGCTTCTTTTGTTTAACATCGTACATTTAGTACTAAACCTCATCTATGATTCACTTAAGTTTAACAAATTTTATTTCGTATTAAAGTAACTTAATCAAATTATTAGCTTTTACTAACTCCTCATATTAGTTAGCTAGTAAAAAAAAGTTCATTAGTTATTTAATTTGGATCATTTTTTAATTCAAATTTATTTAATTCAAATTTATTTAAATCATCATTTTTTAGTTGCAATTTTTGTATTTAAAAATGCAATAAACTTTTTTTTATATGATATTTAAATTATTTAAATTTATATGCAAGTGAAGTATTGCTATAATAAATTGCAACAGATACTATATTAAATCAATATTTTCGATATATTATATTGTTGTGTCATTTTACGTTGTAATGCTTTATTGTTTTTATTGAGATGGATTGATAGTTTGGAAAAAATTGCTAAAAAATTAAACAGTATTTTGATATTAACATTTTAATGTCATTTTTAAACTGTCTTGTTTTATTTTATATAATTAAAATTGCATTATTTCTCTCTTTCTCAAATTTTTTTATTTTTTTTGCAAATTTTACTAATTGTTTTGCATAATTTTAATAAAATTTACAAAACGGATTGATTAGTTAGTTGGAATTAGAAATTGTAATAGTTTAATGGCATAATAAAGGATGAACGCAAATTTTACAAAAATCTTTTATGCCTACTTGATTAGAAAAGTGATGGTTTTCTTGGAACATTTATGTCAACCTTTCCTCTAATGAATATTGTAATTCAAATATTAAACTGAAAAAAAGACAGTTGAAGTTTTGCTTTTATTTAAATCAAAATCAGATAGACAAAGTTTTGGAACTTTTCAATCAAAAAAAAAAAAGAAATTTAATTGAATTTTGATAATTTTTAACAATTTCCTCCTTGTTCTTTATTTTTATCGATGTATATCCGGGAAAAAAGCTTATGCATGCAAGGACAATAATAGGCCTTATAGAATAATGAAATTTTATACCTTTCTAAAATAGAAAATTTCAATAATGTTATAAACTAACCAGCAGTAAGTACATTTTTACCATTAATTATGTCCAAAATTTTATATTTTTTTTAAGAATTATAAAAAAAAGAAATTCGTCTGGTTTTCTTCAATTACAGGTTTTTCATATTTCCGTCATCAATAGGTATGACGAATTCATTTATTCATGGACGATTTAATTTTAATACATTCAAATAATCAAAATTCATTCACCAATTTAGGTCTATTTGTTAGTATTTCGATATTTGTGTATATTTCATTCATTTGTATGCAACTTTTTCTATAAACATACATATGTATGTATGTGAAGTATTATTGTCAGTATAAATTTTATATTGATGGGAAATTTGCAAAATTGCTGCAAAATTGTTGAAGGGATATAGAATGGATAGATTTACGCGATAAATGGAAATGAATGAAATGATTTTAATAAATTGAATAATTTTTCCTCGAAATTGACCTGCTCATAACTGATTAATTTTAATTCTACATTGCTTCAAAAAACAAGAATTGATGGAGATGAATTGAATTTTTTTTTTGTTTCTTTTATTTTTTTTTCATTCTTTATTTCACTTTCGTGCAGCTTTCCCAATCGTTGTATTACATTTTAATTAAAAACAGATAGATTCGTTTTTTTTTTTTTGAAAATCATTTATGCAAAATGATCGTAAGTTAATCGTTATCCATTAAAATAGAAATAGAATTCATGGAATGAATTCAGGTGATGTAAAATAAAGTTGATAGTAATGTTTTTTTTTTGGTCCTTCTTTTTTTTAATGAATTTTATTTTTTTAATTATTTTCTTTTCTTTTTGCTTTAATGGATATTTCCAGTACAAGTGGTAATAATTATTGGTGGTAATAGTGATAGTTTTTTGAATTTAAGAAATGATATTCAACCTTTTTTAATTTAATATATTAATTTTTCAAAATTTCATTGCATATTTTTGTTTTTTATTTCTAATTTCTGTAATTTGTTTTTTTCCGACTAAAACTCAAATTTTAGTAACGAATTCATATATAATTTACTAAGCTATTAAATTCAAGCTCATTTATTTTGCGTATATTTTGTAACAAAATTTGAAGTAAATTTTATTACATTACATAACAGTGAATAACAGTACTATTAATGATGGTTTTTGTGTTCCATTAAAAATTTCATTTCAATGGAAAAAAAGTAAACATAAAATGAAACATTCAATTAAGTTTCAAGAGTTAAAGAATCGTAACTTTAACTTAAATTGAATATTTAAAATTTAATATCGTAGCTTAAATTGAAAAGTTCAAATTTGAATGCTTAAATTAAAATTGAAAATTTAAGAAAAAAATAAATAAATATGATAAAAAATGATGATACAAATTTTTTTTTTAATTTTCAATTTAAGCATTTAAAAAAATTTCTTTAAAACTAAAGCTCTATTTGAATCTTAAATAAATAATGCCTATATATCTGTCTTTCACAATAACTATTACTTGTAGCACGTTTTTTTTTTTCATTAGCATCACTTCAAATTTTATCGTTTCCACATTAGAAATGATTTATTATTTCTTTTTTATTGTTCATTTTCCTTTTCAATTTTTATTTTCATTAAAGAAAATCTTTTTTTAATCTTCTTGCAAAATTTACTTTTTAACTAAATTTAATTTGTCCTCATTTTTCCATTATCTCATATAATTCCATTTTTTCGTCTTATTCTTTTCGGTGTTTTCCTTTACATTTTAGTCTTTTCAATAAATATAAATCAGATAAAAAAGATGTCATTTAGCGCCTCTTCATCTGTTTGTGTGTGTGTGTGTGTGTGTGTGTGTATGTGTGTGTGTGTGTATGTGTGTGTGTGTGTGTGTGTATGTATGTGTTCATGTTGTAAGACAACCTAATTTTTACAGCATTGATAACAGACATATCAATAATACCTCTCATTCAGCGAGAAAAAAAAATGGAAGTGGTTTTTTTTTTCTTTTTTTAGTTCATTTCATTTTCAAATTAAACTTTTTTCTTTTCTTTTTTTTTCTGTAAGGAAAGGATATCACATTTTACTATACTTTTTTTAATGTGTGAAAAGCAATGTAAAATTTGAAAAATTGTTTCATTTTATTGTTGTTAAAGTTCAAAAATTAAAGCACGCTCTCACCACTCTTTCACATGCAGAAAGTTATTCACATTCTTTCGCCTTCTTACTTTACTCTGACAAATAAGTTGTTTTCCAATAACTTCGTGTTTATTTTAGCTAATCGATAAGTTAATGTTACAAATTAGTTAGCCTAATGAAATGAATAAAATATTTGGATGTTTATTATTTAGATGTTTTTTTTTTTTTAAGTAAGAAAGAAAAAAGAAAAGCAAAAAATAATATAATTATATTTTCGATAATTACATTAGCAGATAATAATTAAAATAATGTTTTTTTTCGTGCATGTGATTATTTTAATTTAGCTACCAAATTTTTTAAATTGTAAAAATTATATATTTATGATTTATTGCTCTTTCCTTTTAATCCCAATATATTCTAATTATTCAACGAGAAAAAAGAATGTGTTTGATGTTTAAGCTTTAGCACAATAATTTGGAGTAAAAATAAGATTAAGTGTGTAAGTGAGATGTTATTGATCGATTTAAGATATAATTGAGTGTAGAATGTTTATTGTGTACATACAAACTCTTTTGTTTGTTTTGAGTATGGCTGTCGGATACAACTACTATAGGTATATATGATGAATGAATGTATGCTAGGTATGTTTACCGGATAAAGCTTTGATAGATATGTTTACCGGACAAAGCCATGGTAGGTATGTTTACCGGATAAAGCTATGAGAGGTATGTTTGCCGGATGATGATAGGTATTATATATGCCGAATGAAGCTATGATAGATGTGCTTGTCGGATAAAGATATAATAAGTGGAGCAATTATAATAGGGAAGGCATATCAGATGTGATAATAAAAGTGAACCTTTCAGGTAACCATTATGATTCGGAAATTTTCCTATTTTCAATTATCAAATACGAGTAAAATAGTTTAACTGATATTATATGCAAAAATGTTGCATGAAATAATATGTGAATTTTTAGTGTACATTATTGTATCAATTTCTAATAAAAAAGTGAAAAACGAAAGAAAGACATGTTGAGCGTATTTCTGTCAATATATATTGGATGGTTATTGGGCCTAGTATTAACTACTGTATTCCTCATTGTTTGCGGATATGGCTGGGGACCATTACCGCATTTATACATTAGGCTTATAAAATTTGTGCAAAGTTTTTATCCATATAGTTATCCACAAGCTGATGCATTATGGCCAGCAATTATCAAACGATGTGATATGTCATTACTTCGAAAACATCCTAATGATTCACTATCTTCATTTCACTTCAGGTAATTCAAAATTAACTCAAAAATTTAATCAATCTCTTAAATTCATGTTTATTTTTTGGGAAAAAAAAGTGGAAATGTTAATTAACATCAAATAAAAGTTGAATTTTTGAGGAATTTTTAGAAATGAACGAATTATTGATTTTAATATAATTATAACATTTCTATCAAATTTTTCCGTCCTAAAAAATGTTTTATATTTTGTAGTGAAATTCCAATGATAAATGCATTTTATGTTTGCTCGGATGCATTCAAAGCTGGCTTTGAAGCAATTGTTCAGGTTAAATTGAATGTTTTATACCTTTTGCTAATTGCTATAGCATTATTTAATCGAATTTGAACATTTTTCCTTTTCAAATTACTGTGTTTATCATGCATTCATTTCTAAAAGAAGAAGCAAGGAAAAAAAATATTAAAAAAGGAAAAAAAAAACAATCAACAAATGAAACGAAATTTTGAAATATAATATTTAGAAACTTAAAAATTAACATTTAAATTCAAAATTTTAGGATACTTATGCAAACGGATGAAATGAAATCATGAAATATCATGTTTAGAAATAATATCAATTAATAATTAAATAACATTTTATAGCACACAGTGATTAAATATCACATCAAATTATTATTAAAATTTTTTTTACCAAGTTTTACCTCATATCTCATACTTAAATATACCGAAATTACTTTCGGTTTTAATTAGTATTTAACAAGATTGTTTAGGAATAAATTTTTAATTTTCTGTTTTCAACTATTAAATTTTATTATCAATCGTTGACAGGATCAATTGAGTGTTGCATTTGATCCGGCTCCATCATTCTGTATTACATTACTGGAACGTCCTGATCGATTACCACTTCCGGATGCAAAATTTCGTATTTCACGACGACATATTTTTGGTTATTTTGTTGCATTAATATTTCGTTATGGTATTCTATTACCTATACGAGTATGTTTATTGCTTATTTCACTCATTTTCTCCACAACTGCTATTATCGCTAATTATTTCATTGATATGACTAATGAGCAGAAATTACGCATCAGTTTAATGAACTGTCGATTATTTTGTGCTGGAATTGGCCTTATAGCTAAATATCATAATCGTCAATATAGGCCTAAACAACAAGGTATGTGCTATTGCTATTGTTTTCTTTTATTTTAAATTGAATTTATGTCAATTAATCGACCCAGATTTTGAAATTAAATTATACATTGCTTAATATCATTACTAATACAACTACATATCACGATAAAATATAATAATTATGTATATGTTAAAATGTTTTGCAGTATAATTATAATTACTGTATAATACATAAATTTTGATATGTAAACTTCTTTTGTCACGTGAAATGTTTTGACAGATGAATGCCATAATTTTATACTATTTTCTGATGAAATTTACAGGTATTGCAGTGGCGAATCATTTATCACCAAATGATATACAGGCACTTTATGCAGATATTGACCCCAATAATAGTTACGGTTTTATAGTAACCGGTCAACGTCAAACTGGTATTATTCGACTTATTGAAATTATTGGCGAAAAAATTATTCCAGCATTATGGCTCGATCGAAATTCCGCCGCAGATCGCAAACGTTTTGTGGATGAAGTATTTCAAAAAGCGAAGGTTTGAAGCTTAAAAAATTATTTCATATTTTTTCCTTCAACTATTTCACCATTCCAATTATTTAAAGCTGAGCCAATTGCTTCAATGTCCTTCATATGCAAAAATTCTCAATCTCCAACCAGACCATTTTCTAGCATTATTTTCTAAATTTATATAAATTTTTAGACTAGTAATCCGGTGCTGCTATTTCCCGAAGGTTCTTGCACGAATAACACACGTGTTTTACGATTTCGAAAAGCTATTTTCGAAGAGAATGTTGTTATTTACCCTATCGCAATAAGGTAATAACATGAGAATGAATTTTAAAGGAATTTTTTTTTTAATATTTGAAATTCACTAAATTAAAAACTGATGAATTCTTTTTCTCAATTTTAGGCAGAATGCACGTTTTGGAGATTCATTTTGGGCGGAACCAAAATTTTGGCGATATTTACTACGCATAGTTACATCATGGGCAATAGTTTACGATGTTACATATTTGGAGCCGCAACGTAAACGACCTGATGAAAGTAATCAAGACTTTTCACAACGAGTCCAAAAAGCCATAGCTGAAACGTAAGGGAATTAACCTAAACTAATTTACTATTATTTTTGGCAATTACATAATTCAGCTAAATATATATTTAATTTATCAATTATAAAACTGAGCTTGAATATATATTAAAAACCAAAAACAAAGGTTAAGGAAAAAATATTTTGAAATCCATGAATTACATCATGTTAAGCAATATTTTCTACTATCTTACTCTCTCCCTAAACTTATACGAACTTTCAAAAGCTTTAAACAGGCCTGAGCTTCTGAAACATCGATAACCCAATCAGTTGATAAAATAAGCGAATGATTTTAGTACCAAAACCGCGAATGTTAGACAACAAGCTATCAAATTAGACGAAAAAATTATTACATTGAAGAGAAGTCCTTAATGATCAGGAGGATAATTATATCACTGTTGGCGTATGATCCTATGAAAGGCATATGTTGTACTTTACATATTTTCAGTGCGGATATCGAAAGTATCGCATTAGATTATCGCTTATGGTACATGAAAAGTGAACAACAGAGGCTGAAAACGCTGCAAATGAAAAATTTAGCAAAACGCTTTAAAGATTTCGTTACTGAACAAACAAGCCATGAGAGGTCAGTTGAGATGAAATCGACAAAATCATTGAATGGTTATCATCAATCGTGTTATCAATCATTTCAACTAGTGGAGTTTCATTGACATGATAATAAAAAAAAAACAATTTCTTCAAGACAGCAAGAAAATAAAACAGTTATAAAATTAATGCATAAATGAAATTTTTCTATACTTGATATCTTCATAAATAACTACAGTAAAATTCAGGTCAATTGGAAAATGAGAATTTTCGTTTTACGATTATTAATCGTGTCCAAACATTTGTGAATCAGAAACGACAAGATTGTTATTTAATCTTTCAAGAAAAAATATGTGCAATGCATGTAACAGTTGGCTCGCCAATGTCATTTTGTATAATTTTGAGTGACAGGTAAAGTGCAGAGGTACAGGGAGAAGAAACATTAAGGTCTTCCAAAGGTTGATATTTTTAAATTCCACTAACAAAGAAAAATCAAGCAACTGATATGAAACAATTTCGATACTCTTTCTGCGAGTTAGGTTAGAGAATGAGACTATAGCTGATCCATAATCGGATCATAATTAACGTAATAATCATCGCAATAATAAATTAACGTATAAAATAATGTGTCGGATCAAAAAGTTTAACTTTAATTATTTAACAGCATCCGGTTCTAAATCAACGAAGCAGTCGAATGGACCGATTCAACGGAACAATAAAAACAAATGCCTCAAGTAATTTCAAAGAAGCTAGCCATTCTCACTTCAACTCCTGTAAATGTGCTTCAAGTGGAAACAGTTACCAACTGATAGAGTGCTCAATGTTTGCAGTTTATGCAGGATCATGAAATAACTTTTCAATGATCTAATCATTCGAAGGAATAAAGATAAAATTCAAAAATCCATATTAAAATAACATAAGCTCTTGCCGTAAGTAATTAGGAGAAAGATGCTGAAAGCATTTCAGCAGTGTACCGCATATCTGGATCAACAATAAGACACCTTTTCAATATTTCAAATACCTGACGTTCATCTGAAATTTTTTTAAAAGGTAGTAAAATTAAAATGAAATTTCTTAAAGTTTTGTTTCTGCTTTATTATTTTCATTTCGACTAACAGCAAATATACTTTTCGATCAAAAAAAAAACGATTGAATAACCAAAGAATGACAAGAAATTTTTCTAAACCGAAGTGGAATTGAAAATTAGAATTATATCACGCTTAGTTTAAAAATGGTTACAGATAATATCACAGTGCCACCTCTGTTAAGTAACACGAAGAAATTTAACAACCACGAATAAGCAAGCACGACTTATCACTTTAAAAATAATGGAAGCATACCAACTATAAACCTAAAAGTATGATTTAAAATGAGAATTACCTGGAGCAAGTTGCCTCAAAGAATGTTCTTCAGACATACGACATAAGCATTTAGCACTATAATTACCGAAAAAGAGATTTCTACAGGTATCGCAATATTTACCCTGCCGCGGCATTTCTTCTGAAAAGTATAGGAAATGGTTAAAATACTTTACTTCTTTCTCAATTATTGTTTTATATCTAATTATTCATCCTTGACACAGCTTGAAATATTGGGAATGTTTCCGATATATGATAATAATAAAATGTGATCGATATGCTTCTCTTAACTCAATGAATCTATCAAAACATGAATTATATCATAAAATATGAACCATTTCGTATGGCGTACACAAATTTGACCATATCAAGTCCCGGAAAATCCCAGCTAGCTAATAAGATTGAATTATTCTTCAGCGCTAGTTGTTCGATTGGCTCTGAACCAAAAATAATAGCCATCTGTCCGATTGCTTCATAATCATCATTTGGTCGCATTACGGGATGCTTATGGCAAATCAAAGACAAGAATGTGATACCAGCCGACCAAATGTCGACCAAAGAGGTCTGCTGTCGGTATTTAAGTAACACTTCCGGTGCTCGAAAACCCGGCGTACCAGCCTAAAAGAAGCAGTGTTTGAAATGTGACTCTATAATTACAACATTCCCATTCCATTTTCTCAAAACCTTCCAATTAACTGACTATAAATTCACATCCTAATAACAATATCAGCACCAACTTTATTAACATGAAGTCGAGGCCGCTTAGTGCATATGTCACATACTCTTGGGAAACCGTGACATTCACATCCCTTTCGTTTAATCCCTTTTCTTGCTTCAATTTTCTCGCAGATTTTAAGATTTTGGTCCGATACTTTAAGACTTTTTAAAGCATTTCGTTCTCCCGCCTAAAATAATTATAACAAAAATATAATTTAAAAAGTAAGAACCATGACAACGAAATGTTCTACTATCTTTCGAACTAGACTTATAGCGCTGATCATAAAACTGTTAAACTAAGTTTAGCCTTTCTAATCTATAATTGTAAATAGTATTTTATAAGCTCTTGGAAAATGAAAGCGATTGTAAAAACTGAATCGAATTTCATACTTACACTATTGTGACTTCTCATATGTTTCTGTAGTGGTTGATCATCGGATATTTCTTCACAGAGACCAAAATCAATCAAACAATATCTTAAAGAAGTAGTTGGATATGAAACAATGCAGGCATTAGTTCTTAAAATTTCTAATGCATTTTCAAAGTCTGAAACCTACTTATGTTTCGATCGGTTGTAAAGGAAATTAGATGGCTTAACATCCCGATGAACGATACCTTTCCCGTGTAGATACCTCAATGCATCCAATAAATTCTTCATGTAATCTAGAATTTCTGGTACTGTGACAGAAGCCATGATTTCCTGAAAATAAATAAAACAATTAAGGGATAATAATAGCTACACACATATCATTATTAAATTATTGTAATATCTATACCGCATGAAATTCATGCGATTACACCTTCTTGGACGCCATCAAAAGCTTTTTGTTGATACTTTAAACATATTTTAAATTAGTAATTTTACATTTTAACATTCTACCATTGCTTTTTAGTGTAACAGTTAATATTGATACCTTAGTAGGAGTATGGTCAAAATAATCCATAACAATAAAAACTCTATCACGTTCTCGATGGGCTGCATGAATCCTCATAATATTATGAACACCACCAAAACGTTGCAAAATACGTAATTCCATGGCAATAAATTTTGGTAAATTGTTTCGTGCTAACTCCTTCATCGCATACGATGTTCGAGGCTCACGACGACATTTTATCCGATACACATTACCAAATGTACCTAAAAGAAATAAGTAGTAATGTGCATATGATATATATGATGCTGTGGAATTTATTCACAAGTGTATATGTAATATTTTTTTCCCAAAATATATAATGATGGAGTTTATGGCCCTGCTAACAGTAATGCAATTGTTATCAATTAATCAGCCTTTAATTGCTGTTCAATGATTAGCCGTAAATATCATATTCTCGATTATACTGAGGTAAATAATATATATCATATTTAAAGTTGTGTTAATTATAGAATACACATACGGAAAGTGGATTTCCGATCCCATTCAACATATTTACTGTGTTACCAAAAGAAACCAAGAGAAAAGATGGTTGTTTTTTCATTTACGACAAGAAAATAAAAGAGTGACATAAGTGAGAAAATCAGAATCCCTCGATTTATAAACTATTATTCAAGCAATGGCATAGATAACAGAGATTCCTTTAACGAAATTCGTATAATAATTTGTTAGATGAAACTAATTTTAAGAATGAAAATGAGCACAGAAAAAATTGATTTGTACCTGAACCAAGCACACTACCAACGATAAAATTATCTCGAACCCAACTACTACTTGTCGGTCGATCAGATGGTACACGCCGTCTATCAGCACTTGGCGTCGGCATCCTTCCAATAATATTCGTAATGTGTTATACCTCTAAAATCTATCAACATTTGCTACGTGCAATCATTGGAATTGATTTAAGCATTCATATAACTGAAATCAGCTATGCTGCAACAATTATTTAATGAACGAAAACAGAGCACATTTTCAAAAATCAGTATTTTGATTTTCACGCGAGTTCATCGATTTGCATTTTGATCTATGCACCTTTAACGAACCATTTGCGATGCGTTATATTTTGATCGCTTGCTCTACCCAAATTACTGGGCGTTGGTGAAGTAAACGGAAAGGTTGAAAGTTGGTTACTTAATAAAATATGAGAACATTTACGTGAAGCTAAAGTATTTGATGGCTTATGCGTATGGAATTTTTATTGTTATCAGAAATTGAGATGAATTTTTAAGTGAACACGATGGTGAATGTATCAGCTGATATTCAGTGGCAAATTATCCGAAAAACATCTTCATTTCTGCGCCGACAACGTGGAATTCCGAAACATTTTAGTAGGGAACGTTTCAATATAAAGGGTGTGAACAGTATTCGTTTCAATGGATTGGTTCACAAGAAAGGTTTGGACATCCAAGCATCACCTGATGGTAAAGGTATTGTAGTGGCAGTGAAGAAGCGAAGTAAGTCCTTTTCTGTTTTTTTTTTCTTGTAACCTTATAATTTTCATATTTGTAGTTACTTTTATGATGTCACACATATTTTCTTCGTGTTATTCAGCTTAGGAGGTGAGAGATTTTTTTTTTTGATTTTAATGGTTCAGTAACAGTTATGCTTAGCGGAAATGAGACAGTTAAAGATAGCAACGTCCAGAATCACAGTTAGGACGTTAATTAAGGAATAAATAAAAGTTGAATAAAAGCATCTATTCGGGTTGAATTTTGTGAGGGATAATAGCATATTTGATTTTTGACGATACAACATTTATTGTGAATGAAGAAGGGGCTTATATGAAAAAGATACTTTAAGACTCCGACAACATATTTTGCAAAGTGCACAAGAAACAAAGGAAGGAGGATGAGAATCAGAGAGCAGATGTGATGAATATAACTTTTGAACTCATGTCACTTCCTATAAGGCTATTAGCTGATCGGTACATGAAAGGCTTACGTGACTCTTCTCGATCTTTTCAGACTTGCGTCTAAGTCGGAAATTTTGCTTTTAGGCAACATAATTTCCGAGGACTTTTTGGCGCATAGATTCATTTCTAAAAGCAACATTAATTTTTTTGGCATCGCAGCATGAAGTTTGAACTGGTGTGGTCCTTAAATTCTTATAACTTGAAAATGAATTTTGCAGGTAAGACCTATTTTCCAAGTAGGTCGAATGTGTCCGTTACGCTGAAGAAGAACAGTCGTAAATCATTAAAGAGTGTGAAAAATATTGCCCGTAGTTACCAAAATGCACATAAAGGGGTAAGCTTTTTGCATCATTCTCTCTATTTTCTCAAATTATTCAGAAAATGATAGTTTAAGTCAGTCATATTTTGCTCTATTCCATAGTCAGACATAATTCGAAATAATTATTTTTATTTCCAAAATAGCATAAAGTACTCAGTTTTCCTCAATTGAATCTACATCAAGTATTGAGCAAACTAAGAATCTGGAACCTTTCACGATTATGTTTTTGCTTTTGCTTGCCTTTTTTAATAATTATTTGATATTTTTATTTTCAGTTGGTGCAAAAACGTGCTTCGCAACTACTTCGTTCATTGAAGCCAGTAGCATCACGTCGTGGGCGACATGTGCGTAAAGCAGAAGTCTGATTGAATTGTTATCGCTATTTTGTTATTGTACTTTAACATAATGTGATTTCATAAATGGTTGTTAAATTTCATTGAGGAAAATTACATCATACAGGAATTGCATCATACGAGTAAGAGATTATTTGGCAAGTAACTTCTGGTTTTTCATTATGTTATTGTGATTTAGAAAGTACTTTTTATATATTCATAAATTCGACATTAGTAGTGAAATACGGCAAATATTGTTGCTTCACAAAACAAATGATCCTGAAATCTTTGTGGAAAGATAAATTGTATCCTTTTGGAATCATTTTCATTTGAACATAAGTAGAAAAAAAGAAATAAATTTTCAAATTATTCTTGTAAAACAACTGACGTTTGAATAGACATAGTGCGCCATTGAATCGGTATCGCTATCCCACATGCATGCCGCATGTGCCCTGAATAATTTTGACGAGTTTTTATCTATTACTGTAAAGCTGCTATTAGGTACTTAAGTAAAATTAACTATGAAAGATTGGGAGGAAATTTTTCGTCTTATCATAAGTGCGATCGATAATATTTCTCACAAGTCACTATAGCTTTTCATGATGGTATCGTCACAGTTTTGTGGAATGATCTTACAGAACTGTATGGAATACATGCTAAGCTTTTATAAAAAACAAGTTTCTCATTTTTTTTTTTATAGCAAAAACCGATTTAGCGAAATCTCTCACCGAACTTTTTGTCCACATTCTTCGCCCAAGATTGCTTGAATTATGTACTTATATTTTGGTAAATTAAGTCCTGAAAATTTGCTGATTTGAAATAATAATCTCAGATTATGCTCATTCAATTTATCCTAATTATGATTAACAAGTGGAGCTGTTTTGCTAATTGGAATTCAAGTACTAATGAATAATCAAAGAACAAATGTGGTATATAGCACGAACTTTTCTTGCAAGTGATAATTATTTCTTTTCAATTAATAAAATAAGCTTTCTTTCTTGTGGAAAATATTTCTCTTCCTTTTTTCCCAAGAAGAACTGATTGAAATATAAAAAACAAACTGTTTTGGATACCTTTCAAACGATTTCGAATTATGGAGGCTATTGAATTGCTGAGTTGCTCAGCATTTTTCGATTCAAATATATGTCCTCCTAAACATTCGTTTAATACTTCTTCCAATATTCGTCGTCCAACAGTGGCACGAAATCTAAACTTGAAATTTAATGATGATAACCTGAGACAGCAGAAGGAAAAAGCAGTTATGGAAGGCAAGAGGTCAGACAGTTATTTTCGCTACTTTCTTCTTGAATTTCAAGAGTTCCCTGTTTCAGATTTTGCATTCGATCACAACAAATTCAAACTTAACACTTTGAAAGTTGACAGTGTCGGATCTTACATATCACGCATCACAGGTTTAGCATTTGCTGACCAATCGTTTTGTTAAATAGCAAAACGAAATTAATAATCTGACACACTTTTCGCAGCAGGATGAAATGAAAAATACTAAACGGATTCGAGAATTTTGGATTCCGAAATGAAATTAACACTTTATACTCTTCTACAATTCCTAACAAAAGAAAGAAGTGAATAAAAGTGAATATTAAGGAGCCAAAGTAAATTAACTCTTGAAAATTGGCTGAAAAAATTTGGCCATAAAATAAAATATCAATGGAAGAAGATATGCACATTTTTGTAAACGCACTTTTCCTGATTTGTTGGTCGTATAACAAGACCAGAAATATCTGATACTGTTGCATTGTAGTTCATATTTTATCGGCCTAACTTGCATTCTTGGCTAGTCTAATTTATAGTTATGGCCGTATCCATGGAAACGAATGGAATCAGTAACGTATTACATTAACTAAATGCACTCATATGCATTTAGCATATTCTAACATGAAAACAAAAATAAAAAAAAGAGCCAATGCTACCGGGCTGAATATTTGGTATGATTGATTAAGTACGGATTAGGGACACTGATAAAAATAAATGCAACGATTTGACCTAGGCCTAATTTAAGTATCTTTTGGTTAATGCTCAATTGTAATTGAAAGAAGGAAATAATGTTGCATAAAGTTTGCTATATTAATTGTTTAATTATTAATCTTTATTCAGATTATGATAAATACAAAAACAATACGATCAAAGTCTAAAAAAATCCAATGACTTATTATAAAGCATCAGACATAATTAATTCATTAATTCATCAATTCCACGATCATTTCATCTGACGTATCATCCATTTCATAGCATCTTCGTTATCAAAATATTCGTGCATACTTCGAAGCAGGTAAACATCCAGCAAAGTTTTGTACCATCAGATGAACCATAATATCATGCTGCAATATTTTTGCTCATTAATTTAATACTTAACGCTAACACAAATAAAATAAATCAAATTCAAATTCTTGATGAGTGAAAGAAATTGTTAAAATTAAATTTCAGAAATAATAATTAATGCCGAATATTAAACAATAGCTTGATTATGATTGATTTGAATTTTTGGAAATTGTTGCTAATTAGCCAGCTGATATTTTCCAGCTAATGTTAATCGTATAGCCAGTGATTTAATTAATTTTATTGAAATATGATTGTATTAGGGTCAATTGTAACATTAATACAAAATACTTCATGCTTGCTTAATTTCTTTAGACATAAATGTTTTGCCCTATCGGGAATAACAAATAATCACTTGTTGTTTTCTTTTATTTAATCTATTTCAATTTCAGCATCAAAAAAAAAAAATCCATGCAACAAGGGATAGTGAAAAACATTCCAATATTTTGCTAAAATGTTCCTTCAAAAAAAAAAAAATTCTAATTAATTAAATTGATCACAACTATTGGATATGATGAAAAACTTTTCATCATTTCATTAAAGTTATTAAAAAAAAAAACAAATAAATTACTGACCACAGCATATCCATTTACTTTGATACATTGTCCCACATTTTTCATAGATTTATGATCAAACGTCAAATTTAAATCGAATTTCCGAAAGTTGAATGGCTCTTCCGAATAAAAGCAATTGCATGGTTCACATTCGACTAAAATTCCATCTGATTCTTTTTCATCTGATTCATCTGATTTATCTAATTCATCTGATTCTGCATCGTCAGATGGTTCATTTATTCTCGGAATCGGAAGATGGTTACGTTTGCTTTGCAGTATAATTCGACGTAGAAGCACGTGCAATTTTATACGATCAGTTCGATTAAACGACTTCATAAACTGATCGACTGCTTTATTTTCTTGAGAATTTGTCATTGACATATTTGCTTTCATTTTTAATATCATTTTCAAAGCTTCTTTTTCGTGCATGTTCATTTCCGTCGATTCTTCAATGTTTTTTTGCATTTCGTTGATTTTTTGTTGAATTTCGTTTAGATTTTTAACAATTATATTCTGAAAAATTATAAAAATGTCATTAAATAGTGGGGAAAAAAAAGCTCCTATAATCTTTGTGATAAATAAAATATTGTAAAAAGATTTTGGAAAATAATAAAAATTTATTTTTCTCCTCAAATTTTATGGTTTCATCTATAGATCAATGTTATTTAGAAAGTATTTTATATATAAACAAAATTAAAAGATAAAAACTACTTGAATTATTCAGTGAGTTGAAATTTAAAACAGTTATTGAAGATGGTAATAATGATTATTGATAAATTAGCCTATCAAACTAATAGCAATATTTTTTCTAATAAATACAAAACAAATAATTTAATTTGCCTTTAATTTTTCATTACTAAATTTTTTCTAAATTTCATTAAATCTTATACTAATAATAATAATTAATTACTAAATTCCATATTAAACAGTTATAATTGTTTCTAAATTTTATTAAATCTTATACTATAAAATTACTGAAAAACGTAATTACTGCCTTTGATTTTTCGTAAATTGTTTTTTCTAAGAACTTATGCTAATCCAAAAATAATGAACATTGCAACCACTAATTAAAATTGATTTCATTTTTTTTATACTAATATAAATGGTGTAACTTACTGCTAATTTTGAGCCCTGTTTTTTGGCCCATTCTTTAATTGTTTCATGGAGTTCTTGTTTCGTTAACGTATCATTTTGAAACATCATTTTGAGTTGTTGAAATGTTTCAGAGTATGCTTTTTGTATAATAATTAATATTTCAGTTAAATGATATTTATCATAATAATGAAAACCTGGAAATTATTTTAAAATAAATGGGAAATTTTTATGACTCATTAATGTAAGCATAGCAGTAGGAGCACTTAAGATTTAATATTAATTTAAAATTCGCATATAAATATTAAAGTGATATGTGGAAATATTATTCGTCAATATTCCATTAAATAATTGTTGCTATTAAATTTGAAACTTTTTTCCTGAATTCATACATTTCTCGTACTATTACTTTATTTAAA